ATGTTGTGCAAAGCCTAGGCATACACTCCCACAGCTGAAGTGGGTGGCTTGCACTAATAGAAGAGGGAATGACGAAAGCCCTCCTGTGTAGTCACAAACCGGGAACACCACTTCCTTTAGTTGAAAATCTAGCCTCAAGTAATCCCCAAAATCAACAAGAGCATGTATTGATTCCGCGTCGATAAACAAGGCCCCTTTCGCATTGCAATCGATCTCATATCGACCTGTCTCGTTGTTTAATATTAACCTTCCTGCCATCGGATAGAAAGGCACTAAGGCTCTACTAAGAGCCTCTTTCATAGTGTTGGTGTCAAAAAAATTTGAAGGTGGAGTATAGACGAAAAGAACTTTAGAATGCGAGTATGGAGTGCGTATCATCATGTCTAGCTTTGATAGCCAAAGACTACCTTTTGGGGTCTCCTCACTCGGACATACCATTGTTGATTTCTTAATTTTGATTTTGTCCATCTAAAATATTATGCTCCAATGTTAAAAAAATAATAATAATAATAATAATAATTGAAATTAAAGGTGTGTGGGCGGTTAAACAGAAAGCGTACTTGTTGACTCACTGATTAAAATGTAATGGATTTTCAGGGTAGCACATCCTAGGTTCAGGTGGGGTGGTTTTTCCTGGGATAGGTATCTTAGAATTAAGAACCACTTAGAGAGAGAGAGAGAGAGAGAGAGAAGAATGCTTGGATTTTTTGGAGTGAAAGGTTGGAGAATGTGTCAATTTTGTCAAAGGATGGGGGGTATTTGTAGCCTTTTGGGAAGTGTACTCTCCTTTGGCTAACCCTTGATTGGCGGCGAATGATTGGTCAGCCATCAAGAAGAGGATGCTTCCCCTTGTTTCATGGGCTAAAGTTAATAATCTGCCATAAAAAATGCATAAGGTAACAACCTTACAAATTTGGGCTTAGCTGCTTAGATTTCTAAAGGATTATTATGCTTTTACTAACATGGAAGGAATTTTATGCTATGTATGTCATTGTTGTATTGATGGCAAGAGATAAAATGTTGTTTGCTATCTATCTTTTTATAAAACCTCTCAGAAGGTGACACTTGATATTGGCATTACATGGAAGGAATTTTATGCTATGTATGTCATTGTTGTATTGAGATAAAATGTTGTTTGCTATCTTTTTTTTTTTATAAAACCTCTCAGAAGGTGACACTTGATATTTGCATAGTCTGCAAGTTAACTTTCACTCTTTATGGCCCTGGACTAATGATGCTCTAAGGTTTGAAAAAAACAGAGAAAAAAAGTAAGAGAGGTTATTTTATAAACATACAACCTAAAGTATGATGAAAGAAAACAAATTAACAACCTATCAATTTATCAAGTTCCTTTTTTTAAATCTACACTTAATATATATATATAGCCAATTGGTTGGCATTCATACTTCTAAGATCTAAAAGTAGGATGAAATCCTCATTTCTAAGCAGGGGTATGGGGAAAGGAGTATGGCTCTGTTCTTTTGGATTTATGTTTCAAGTTTTGTTCCGCTCAATTCAGAACCTAGTTTCCTCTTCATTATTTCATGAAGTTTAATTCAGCTGAACTAATTCAATTTAGACTCATTCAATTCAAAATATATTAATATAGAGCTCATGTTTGGCTTTGAGAAAGGTAAACCTAATAGGATTTTTAAAACTTTCCTTCCAACAACAACCAAAAAAAAACACTTTTGAACATAATGTCTACATCGGTATCTTTAGATGTTTATACAGCAAACTTTGTGCTGTTAGATTAAGTAGAGTATGATGAAAGAAAACAAAATTACTTGTCTCACTTTATATGTACACTAATATGCTACTTACAATATTTTGTGCGTAAATTTGAATCCACCCTTTAGATAGTTAGTAAATAAATTGTTATACAATCACATATTTACGTTTAGGTCCTCTATTGTGTTACACAATTGCATATTACACTTGGCTCTTTTATTGTACCTTCAATCTATATAAGGACTAGAAAGTGCTTAAGTAATCGTGTCAGCTAAGTCAAGTTAAGTAGGTATATATTTATTTAAAAGATCTCCATGAGCAACACACTTATGAATAAGTGATAATTGATTTTAATGTACTTGCTATGATCATTCTATACTGGATTAACCGTACAATAAGTGGCACAATTAGTCATTGTCATACATTAGTGTAGTGGGTTGATAAATCAAGATAACAAGGTCAACAAGGATAGAATGTACCCATAGGTAAGCATACAGGGAGGATTTGAGACCATGGGTTGTTTGTAAGATCAAATCAAGTCACAATCAAATAGTAGAATTGTAGAATTCATAAAGGTGTAAATAGAATGCAATGGAGGACTCTTATACCCTACTTACTCTTAAGGCTTTATTTGGTTCAATATTAGATTATTAGTAAAGAAAAATAAGAGAAAGGAAATGAGGGAAAAAGAAAGGAAGAGGAGGGAAAGGAAGGGATTTTATTTTCTAATGTTTAGTTAATGAAAGGAAATGAAGGGAAGAGAAGGGAAATGAAGGGATTTTATTTACTAATGTTTGGTTAATGAAAGGAAATGAAGTGGAGAGAAAGGAAATTTAGTTTATAACTTTTATTTTTCTCTTTATCTCAATGTCATGAAGCTAAGATTTTTGGAAGGAAACCAAATTCCTTTAGTTTGGGAGGAAAAAAATGTTATAAATGATAAGAGTATATAAACCAATTTTGGACTTCAATCAACTTAAGCTTTTGATAGAGTGATCTTATAACATAGTACCAAAACCAGAATCACAGAAGGTTACAAGTTTAAGTCTCATCTATCTTAGTGGAATACATAGCGATGGGTATAAGGAGGTCCATGATGCATTCACTGTTCATCGATCATGTAAGGAGGCGTAATAGAGTATAAAAACCAATCATGGGCTTTAAGCATTAGCTTATGCTTTTGGGTTGAATTAGCCATTTAACATGGTATTAAGAGCGAGCGTGATAAGAAGGTTACGAGTTTAAATTTCATCCACCCTTCTTTTCAAGTGGAATAATTAACTCTAGGTATTAGGAGGCCTATGTTGCATCTACATTGCAAACCTAGCGAGCTCTCATGTAAGGTAGTGTGATAGAGTATAAAATCTTGGTTTCCTCCATAGCTTAAGCCTTTGGTTGAGTTGGTCTTTTAAGACCAATGGTCTTTTTATATTATCACATTTGAAATCATCACTAATTATGGCGTCTAATGCTAGGAAAGAAATAATTTGATGAAAGAAAGGGAATAGATTTTTCGAAAAAGAAAGTGTTCTTGTTATTTTGGTCTCTTTATCCTAAACATGAAAAATATATATTCTTTGCAATTCATTGCTTATATAAATAGCATTTGAGTTCAAGCATGGATACAAACTACTAGTAATACATTTCAATTACAACTTCCAAAGATAGACTGAAGAAATATTCTGATTGGTCTGTCCGACTAAATTGTTTTTCATGCTTAAGATGTATGGACTGGTAGAATCACGCTAGTGACTCACACTTGAGTTTCTTGGCAAGGAGGATGAACAGTCTATATTGGATTTGTAGCTGTAGAGTGACAAAAACTCACATATATTAATGGCATAGATGTTGCATTAAGTATAAGAGATTTTGAAGAAATCTGGTGACGATGTCATCTTTGAAGATATTTTGCATAATATCCCACTATATGTGACGTCTTTGCTATAGATATAATGTGATATCTATTCCTCCATATAGCTTGAAAAAGGGAATACAATGTATTATGATCTTTCTTCTGTGTATCCAATAGGGAATCTTTATTCTCCTTGTTGAGACTTTAATGTTGTAGAGTATTTGACATAAGTATATTTCCACCAAATTTCATTAGTCTTTAGTGTGAAAAAATTTATTTAGATGGATGAACTAGTAGTACATAATATTTGAGTTCGACTTGGAAGATGTAGTTCGAATTTGTTTTTTGTAGCCATGTTTGAACTTATATGTTATTATACAATACCAAATGTGGGTATAAGAATCTGCTAATTCCTAAAGTGTCTTGTAAAATAAATAAATAGTGAGGTAATGTATCTCTATACCAAGGAAAAAAAAACAATGAGATTTTCTTTAGTTTTTTACAAAAATAAGATCTACTTATTCTTTCTTCAAACTATATTATAATGTTTACTACCTATTGCTAATTCCTTGTATATCTTTTAACATTAAATCAAAGTGATAATATAAATGTATATGCTTAGTTAAAGAGATTAAAACTGAAAAAAAAAATAAAAAAATAAAAAATAAAAAAAATAAAAAAATAAAAAAACTGTTTTAATCTTTTTATATAATTTATTTCATTAGGTACATCAAACTACATCTCTACAGTGTTTGTGATGCTTTATTTTATGGTTTAAAACCAGTCTTGATTACGACTAAAGAAAAAAGTTAGAAAATATATGGTTTTAAGATAATACGCTATGCTGGTTTCCTAGTAGAAGTGTTTGGTTTGAAATTATTTATGTATCTAACAGTGATAGATAATTCATAAAGCTATTAAAAAGGGCTTATTGTTTGCTTTACCTATTCAGTTTCTTGGATTACCTAGTTGTTGGATTGCATTTAATGCTGACTAAACCATGATGTTAGGCTTTGCTGCAAGGTGTTCAGCCACTGGCCCACTAGTGTCATCCATTCTGTAAGAGGGGAGAGGGGTGGGGGAAGGTTGGATTATGATTTCCACTTATTTTCTTGTCTGTTTTGCTGGTTTCGTTTGTAATTATAATTTTCTTATGCTTGAATTCTCTCTTGTTCACTCCTCTGCTAGGCTGAGGATGGGAGAGAAGTCACACATCAATTTGTTTGGGGTCCTATGATTCCATTTTAAAGTGTGTTATTGACTTATTGGTAATATAGCCATTCTGGGCATCATTTTGAGAAAACTTATTTTATATTGAGATATCTTGAATTGTGTGTGTGTGTGTGTGTGTGCGCGCGCGTTCGCGCGCGCGCGTGTGTGTGTTATCTCTTTGACCTTATTTGATGAATCCTTGTAGGTGAAAACAATCTCTTTGTTTGGGGATGTTTGGGGTGTTGGTCCTACTACGGCTCAAAAACTATATGACAAAGGACACCGTACTTTGGAAGATTTGAAAAACGACCCATCTTTGACCAAAGCTCAAAAGTTAGGTTTACAATATTTTGATGATATCAAGACAAGAATTCCACGGCATGAGGTTCCATCTTGTACTTTGTGGATTTTTCTATGCTCAAGAATTAGCTTCTGTCTCTGAGATTGCTATTACGCTGTTTCATAAATATTTTACACATTAATGAATTGACAGGTTTCAGAAATGGAGAAAATGCTTCAGAAAATTGGAGAAGAAATTCTGCCAGGAGTATGTCTGTTGATCTTCTCTTGGGATACCATGAATTTACTGTTTACTTACTTGGCTATGTACTTGTGTTACACCCCTTGCCCTTTTATTGGACTAGTGGGTGGGTGGGCGGGCAAGTGAGGAGTTGATTTAATGGTTAATGCCCTCTTGAGAATCTGCTGGCCTGCCTCTTGTGGATACTATTATTTATCAGGGGGAAAAATATGGTTATCACCAGCAGGCAGTAATAATTTTACCCGTAGCAGTTTTACCCATGTTAGCAGTTTTACCCTTTTTATCCCCCAAATTATGCCATTTTTGCCCTCTGATAAACAGTATGCTTATAAACTTGTATTTTCTCTTTAAAATTTTGTGTGTTTTTAAATAGGACATGTCTTTTTTTATTTATTTGTTGATCTAATGATTGATGTTAAGTGGATTGTTGTTTAGTTAATTTTTGTTTCTGGTAGTATAATAAATATTCAATAATCATAGGCCAGAAAATAAAAGGGATCTCTTGACTGAAGATTGGCCGAATTCTGGCACAAGGTGGTGTTAACTGAAATAATTAGTTAAATGATGGTTTTTTTAGACAATAATTTTATACAAAGGTTATTTTTTTTCAATATGCAAACTTGAAAAGGTGGTTTGTGGTAAATTTTCCTTGATGGTATAATTGTATTTTGGGTACAAGTACAATTAAACGTGTTCTGTGACCTGATCTTTAGATTAATTCATTAATTTGCTATTAGCCATTAGTTGGTAGAGTCTAATCCACTACATTGTATCAGCTAGCCATTAGTCCTTTATTTTTATTTCTTGTATTAATATTTATGTCTCACACTAATGTTGCCCTGATAACTACTGTTTGGATTCTGGAAGGTGGTTATTGTGTGCGGTGGATCCTATAGACGTGGAAAATCTTCATGTGGAGATATGGATATCATAATTACTCATCCTGATGGACAGAGGTAATTGGTAGTTTTTTGTACGGCCCATCAGTATACTACATAGCTGCATAAGTTATTGGAAAATAAAATAAATATAATCAATTAAAGAAAATGTTAGCCAAGTTCAACTGTATACTGGTTGTACTAAAATACACCAGCGTATAAATAACAGCAATAGTTCAGAAGAAATTTTAGTTTGCAAAATACCTAGTTTGTTTTCTTTGTTTTAGCTAACATTTTGGTACTGCGAAATGTGCACCACTTTTTCAGTCACAAAGGTTTTCTAGCAAAGTTTGTTAGGCGTTTGAAAGATATGAATTTTCTGAGAGAAGACTTGGCTGTAAGTTATCACAGTGAAGAGGTAAACCTTTTTGTCTTTTGACAAGTACCTTGACCGTAAATCTTTCTTGCTTAACAAGCAATTAAAACTTCTGATGTCTCTTGTGATAGTATCTGATGTATAAAGCTTGAGGTTTACTTAGTAAGACACTAAGACCAGGTTAAGAAATGTTGTTTTGGACTACATGGCTTTGTTGCTGTACATTACTTCTAATTATGCGTCTGTCATAACATATGCAGGGTAAGGATTCTGGAGTAGACACGTATTTTGGGTTGTGCACTTATCCTGGCCGAGAGCTACGCCATCGGATAGATTTGAAGGTATATATAGCGTAGTTTCCTGTTATCCCTTTCTCTCTATGTGGTGCTGATTTTAGGGTCCTCGTCATACATTGCCACGGAAAATGAGCAACTTTTCACTAAAAGTTAATGTTAATCTTTGATACAAGCTTATAAATTGGTTTGATACATGATGTTGTGGATAATGTTGGTAGTTTTTTTGTTTTGTTTTGTTTTGTTTTTTTTTTTTTTGTCCTCTCTGGTTAGGTGTTTCCTAAAAGCATATACCCATTTGGGCTGATACATTGGACAGGCAATGATACATTGAATAGAAGGTATGTGCTGCTGTGCATAAATGCAGTGTTCAGGTTCTCAATCTTTAATGTCATCTTTCTCTCGATTTCATCTTCATCTTCATCTTCTGTACTCAATTTGACTGGTATCAATGTTAGAAGTTTTACTTGTATTAACACTTGTCCACAAGGAGTGGGATGTTTCATGTAAAGGAGATTTTTCAAAAAAAAAAAGAAAAAAAAAATAGAGTATTTTTGTCATTGTGTGACATTTCTGTTTAGGCTGAGAATACTGGCATCGTCAAAAGGGTATCGACTTGATGATACGGGGTTATTTTTTGCCACCCAAAGTTCAGGTGGCCAGCGAGTAAGGATTAAATTGTTACTTTGTTTGAAACTTTCATGTTAATTATCTGTTTCTTCCTGTATATTTATGTATGTTGTGAATTAACTGTTGTTCCAGGGTTCAAAAGGAACGACGAGTTTGCACTTTGATACAGAAAAGGAAGTGTTTGATTTCCTAGAATTTCCCTGGCTGGAACCACATGAGAGAAACCTTTGATATGCAACAACTGTTGTACTATTGCTATTTGTACATGTGTAATTTTGTAGCTTGGGAAATTTGGTTGTTATGTTAGTTATAAGCATCCAAGAGATGAAATTTAGTTGGTATGTATATACTATATACATCTTTTGTTTTTGCTAGATAAATGTACAGGAGAATCTTCACAATTGTACTTTGAAGCTGTAAATGTATGTACTCCATATTTTGTTTTCCTCAGCATAGCATATACACGCTTGTTCAAGCAAAAGATACGATAGAATTTCTTCCTTCTCTACATTTCTTTTCCCAGGAGAAATTTTTGAAAATTTGGAACTGTTTTTAGTAATTGGCGTAGTTTATATATACGGGTCAAATTTTCTTTTGCCTTTTTATTTTGAGTGCGGTGTTTGTTATATTGTCGTGTTAAATTGTGTTTTGGCAATCCATTCACTAAATTCTTGTCAAATTAAATGCTAACCAAGGGCCAGGAAGACAAAAATTTGTGTAGGGAGGAGCAAATAAGATGATATAGCCAAAAGAAATGCGGCCTGTTCTGATTGACTGAACTGAACTGAACTGATTGGAGTTGAACTAAACTGAATATTTTATGAGAGAATAAAATTAAATACTAAATTGAATTTAACTTAACTTATTGGAACTGAATTGAACAGAAAAATAATCTGAACATAACAGGCCCTAAGACTTATTGAAAGTAATTTTCTACAATTTATCCTATATTTTTATCCTATGTTCCACAAAAAACACGGTATAAAATTATTTTTAAACAGAGAGAATAGTGTACTGCGACTTCCGAAAGGACTCGTTGGTTAAGGACCTTAGGGAGCTGAATAGCTTATGTTAGAAGTTCATCTATTCATAATAGCATGTCATGCTAATATTGTATATTTCATATTTGTATTCTATGAAGGAGAGTTAAAAGATAAGGCGCAAAACCAATAAAAATGGCTTGGAGCCTTGCTCCTACTCTTTCAACATTTGCAATAGAAAATTCCTCATTCTTCATTACTTCTTCTACTTTTAATCCTTCAAACTTACCCAAAACTCTTAATTTCTCTAAAAATTGTACACCCAATTTAAAGCAACAATGGAATTTTCCCATACACAAACAACTTTATTCCTCTACACAACTAATTTGCAAGGCAGCTGAGTACAAATTCCCAGACCCAATTCCTGAATTTGCTGAATCTGTAAATATTTGTGTATTTTCTTTTATCTTGTTCATTTTATGTGCCATTTTTATGTTAATTGTTGTCTTATTTAAATTAAATTAAATTGGGGGTATACAGGAGATAGAGAAATTCAAGACCCATTTACAGAGGAAGTTGTCAAACAAAGATATTTTTGGAGATAAAGTGGATGAAGTTGTAGAAATCTGCACTGAGGTAATTAACCCAATTAACAAACTGTTATTTTTTGAATTAAAAGGTTGAATTTTGTGCAATTGATTATGAATGTTCATTAATTGAAAATTTTTCTGGGTAATTTATGTTGTGCGACAGCGGAAGCAAAGGTCGAAAACAAACAAGAAAACAATAAAGAAATTCAATGCAAACAATAAGAACAACACCAAGAATTTACGTGGTTCACTATCGATGTGATAGCTACGTCCACGGGCACCGAGATCGAATGATTTCACTATAAACTGCAAAGATTACAAAGATGATTCTTGTATTTCTCAAGAACGGCTCTCACTCTGTCTCTCTTTTTTAACCCTTATACTAATATTAGGGAGGTTTTATATTAATCCCTAAAATAAAAGATACTTGGGCAAAAAGATAACATAAAAGATAACTTTAAATCGTAAAATCCGCGTCTCCGCATTTTTCCTTCTCCGCCCGGTCAGACCGGGCAAGGTCTGCCCGATCGGGCGCGAGAAGAAAACTCCATACGAATGCTTCAACGTATCCAACCCCCACCGCCCGGTCAGACCGGGCAAGGTCTGCCCGATCGGGCGAAGGCTCGCCCGGTCGGGCGAAGGCTCGCCCGGTCGGGCGCGAGAGCAGCTTCTTCAACGAATTTGCCAGGCACCTCTTCTTCTTCCGCCCGGTCAGACCGGGCAATGTCCGCCCGATCGGGCGGACAAAGCTACGAAGTACGAGTCACCTAATATACTTATCAACAATCTCCACCTTGACGAGAACTCGTAGTCAGCAAACGACCCCATCAAGACATAGTGAAAAAACATCTCAAGCCAAACCCGATGCAGGACTCATGCATAAGCCATACATCCCGATAAGTCTTCAACCAAGACCCATCACATACTCGTCTCCAAGTATAACAACTCATAATGCTCCACCTGCATCACAAGCCCCGGGCAAGCTCCACCTTAATGCCAACACACCTACACCAGGAGCTCCCCAACTTCGCCCCTCAGGGCCTACTACATCACGTAGTAATCAATATTTAGCAAGTCTAAGCAATGTTTAAACTTGCTAAACGGAACAGGCTTAGTGAAGAAATCAGCCGGGTTGTCAGCAGTCCCAATCTTCTTCACCTTAATCCTCTTGTCAGTACGCAAGAAATGATACCTGACATCAATGTGCTTCGTCCGATCATGGTGTACTTGATCTTTAGCTAAGCAAATCGCACTTAGACTATCACAATACACTGTAGCAAAATCCTGTGCAATACCCAGTTCACCTACTAGGCCTTTGAGCCAAATAGACTCCTTAGCTGCAGAAGTTAAAGCCATATACTCAGCTTCAGTAGTTGACAACGTAACTGATGACTGCAATGTAGACTTCCAACTAACCACAGAACCACCCAAAGTGAACACATAACCAGTCACAGACCTCCTGGTATCCACATCAGCTGCATAATCAGAATCACTGTACCCAGTGACCAAGCATTCCTTATCATTCCCGTACACAAGACCAATATCAGCTGTCCCTCTCAGGTAGCGAAAAATCCTTTTCACCCCTTGCCAGTGTTCCCTCCCAGGTCGAGCCATAAACCTGCTTACAACACTAACAGCATGCGCAATATCCGGCCTAGTACAGACCATAGCATACATCAAACAACCAACCGCGTTTGCATATGGAACTCTAGACATATAAGACAACTCCTCCTCTGATTGAGGTGACATAGACAAAGACAACTTACAACTAACAGTAGTTGGCGTACTTATAGGCTTCGATTTTTCCATCCCAAAACGAGACAAAATCTTTTCAATGTAGCTTTTCTGAGTCAAGAAAAGCTTACCTCTAGCCCGATCCCTGTAGATCTCCATACCCAAAATCTTCCTAGCTGCACCCAAGTCTTTCATGTCAAACTCCGAGTTAAGCATCTCCTTTAATCTAGCAATATCAGATTTATTCTTTGTGGCAACCAACATGTCATCAACATATAACAAAAGATAAATCATGGAACCATTATCCAGCTTACTATGATACACACAGCAATCATATGAATTCCTGTCAAAACCTTGTGAAACCATAAAAGAATCAAACCTTTTGTACCACTGTCGGGGGGATTGCTTAAGTCCATACAATGACTTTAGCAATCTGCAGGCATAGTGTTCCTTTCCAGGAACTTCGAATCCTTCGGGCTGCTTCATCAGAATCTCCTCCTCCAAATCGCCATGAAGGAAAGCCGTTTTAACATCCAACTGCTCCAGCTCAAGATCAAAATGTGCTACAATTGACAATAACACACGGATAGAAGTATGTCGAACCACAGGTGAGAATATCTCAACAAAGTCAACCCCTTCTACCTGACTGAACCCCTTAGCAACTAGCCTAGCCTTAAAACGTATTTGCTCAGTTTCCGACAACCCTTCTTTCTTCTTGTAAATCCATTTACAACCCACAAGCTTCCTCCCTTCCGGTACCTTTACCAGTTCCCACACTCTGTTCTTGTAAAGAGACTGCATCTCTTCACCCATTGCGGCAAGCCATTGCGCAGACTCACTACAACTAATTGCTTGTTTATATGTGGCAGGTTCAAATGACTCTACATCATCAGCTACACTCAATGCATAACCTGTCATCGCATCAACACAGCAATTTCTTCCCTCCATCTCTTCAATCAATCTAACAGGCTTCTTGATAACTCGTTTAGGCATCTCAAGAATGGTGTCAGGTTGACTAGATGACCCCTGATTAGATTGCTCCACCTCATCCCCAGAGTTAGAATGAGTAGGAGTAATCTCAGGTTCAGGAGTACCCGGCACTGGAACATCAGCATCATCATCAATATATTGTACCCGAGGTAAATCAGCAATGGTAGACTGATGTACCTCAAGTACCCCATCTGTCTGTAATAAATTGTCTCCTTCCCTTCTCAAATCTGAAATCTCTGCATTTTTAATTGAATACATGGTGTTTTCATCGAAAGTAACATCCCTACTAAGAATGACCCGACCCTCCGAAGGTGAAAAAATTCTAAACCCCTTCACACCATCCCCGTACCCAACAAAACACCCCTTCTTGGCTCGTGGATCCAGCTTACCCTCAATAACATGATAATAAGCAACACAACCAAAAATCTTCAAATTCGAAAAATTAGGCAACTTACCACTCCAGATCTCAAACGGAATCTTGGAATCAATTCCAGAATGAGGACCCCTATTAATGACATAACAAGCTGTTAACACAGCTTCACTCCAGTACCTCCTCCCAAGCCCTGCATTAGAGAGCATGCATCGAACTCTCTCTAGCAGTGTCTGATTAACCCGTTCTGCTACACCGTTCTGCTGTGGTGTCTTCCTGACAGTATGATGCCGACCTATACCCTCATCTGCACAGAACTGATTAAACTCGTCTTTGCAAAACTCTAGCCCATTGTCCGTTCGTAGCTTCTTGATCTTCCTTCCTTGTCGATTTTCCACCAAAGCTTTCCATTGCTTGAAAACTTTGAAGGCCTCATCCTTTGACTTAAGCAACCTAAGCCATGTGTATCGGGACTTGTCATCAACAAATGACACAAAATAGTGGTAACCTCCCATACCTTCAACTCTAGATGGACCCCAGCAATCTGAATGGATGTAATCGAGCACTGCATCAGTAATGTGAGCACCCTTGCTGAACTTTGACCTGTGTTTCTTACCAAACACACAATGCTCACAAAATTCAAGGTTGGCAACCTTGACCCCGGATAGAAGACCCCTCTTGGACAATAGCTGCATCCCCTTCTCCCCCATATGACCAAGCCTCATGTGCCAAATCTTATTCATCTCCTGGTGAGATACAGATGCGCAAACCGCAGAACTAGGCAGTGTAACACCCTCAAAAACATAGAGGGTGTTCCTTTTGATACCCTTAAGTACCAACTCAGAACCTCTGAAAATACACAACTCCCCATCTGAAAACACACCATTGTACCCCAATTCATCCAGGGTACCCAATGAAATCAGATTCTTTCCTAAAGCAGGAACATGCCGTACATTAGTCAAAGTTAACCTCCGCCCATCAACAGTCCTCAACCTCATGGAACCAATACCTGTGACCTTACATGGAGCATTGTTACCGACTATAACCATACCCCCATTGCGAGGTTCATATGTATCAAACCAATCTCGACGTGGACACATATGGAACGAACACCCTGAATCTAGAACCCAGTTATCAGATAAATCATCAGACCTAGCAGAACTGACTAATGCTAAATCTTCCTCTGAATTATAGCTCTCATTCGGTTTCTCTTCAACTACAGCAGCCTGGGACTTGTTTTTCCTCACCGGACAATTATTCCTAAAGTGACCCGGTTCTTTACAGTAATAACATGTTTTAGTAGTAGTTTTACTAGATCCATCCTTGCCGTTTCCAGCACCCGACCCAGCATTGTTCCCCTTGTTAAACCCCTTATTCTTTTTAGACTTTCCGGACTTAACAAACAACCCACTACCATTATCCCCATTATCACTCGTAGCTTTCATTCTGAGTTCCCTAGTATGAAGTGCTGCCTTCACTTCTTCTAAGGTTATAGAATCCTTACCAACAACTAAAGACTCTACAAAATTCTCAAAGCTAGACGGTAGAGATACAAGTAAAATCAACGCAGCATCCTCATCATCAATTTTAACATCTAAATTACGTAAATCAAGCAAAATAGAGTTAAGTTTTTCTAGATGTTCCCGTAAGGAAGTACCTGACTGCATCCGGAGGCTAAACAACCGCTGTTTCAGTAATAATTTGTTGGTCAACGACTTAGTCATATACAATGACTCCAGCTTCAGCCACAATCCAGCCGCCGTTTCCTGATCAGCAACCTCCGTGATGATTTGATCATCAAGACTAAGTAATATGGTAGAGTGTGCCTTCTCTTCCATAACTTCTAACTGCGAGTCAGTCGGTCCGTCTCCTGACTCCGAAGTAGTACTCTTTGGAGCCAACGGACGCCATATCTGCTGTTGTTTTAACAGAGCCTTCATCTTAATTTGCCATAGCCCGAAACTATTTTTCCCGGTAAACTTCTCAATTCTTATTGTTGAATCTCCTGCCATTGTTATCTTCAAGAAACTCTCCAAGGATTGAACCTGAGCTCTGATACCAATTGTTGTGCGACAGCGGAAGCAAAGGTCGAAAACAAACAAGAAAACAATAAAGAAATTCAATGCAAACAATAAGAACAACACCAAGAATTTACGTGGTTCACTATCGATGTGATAGCTACGTCCACGGGCACCGAGATCGAATGATTTCACTATAAACTGCAAAGATTACAAAGATGATTCTTGTATTTCTCAAGAACGGCTCTCACTCTGTCTCTCTTTTTTAACCCTTATACTAATATTAGGGAGGTTTTATATTAATCCCTAAAATAAAAGATACTTGGGCAAAAAGATAACATAAAAGATAACTTTAAATCGTAAAATCCGCGTCTCCGCATTTTTCCTTCTCCGCCCGGTCAGACCGGGCAAGGTCTGCCCGATCGGGCGCGAGAAGAAAACTCCATACGAATGCTTCAACGTATCCAACCCCCACCGCCCGGTCAGACCGGGCAAGGTCTGCCCGATCGGGCGAAGGCTCGCCCGGTCGGGCGAAGGCTCGCCCGGTCGGGCGCGAGAGCAGCTTCTTCAACGAATTTGCCAGGCACCTCTTCTTCTTCCGCCCGGTCAGACCGGGCAATGTCCGCCCGATCGGGCGGACAAAGCTACGAAGTACGAGTCACCTAATATACTTATCAACAATTTAGGTGACTGTCTGAAAATTTTCGGGTTATTTCAAAGTTTGATAGATAATTTATGGCATTGTTGTAGATTACATACATATTCTTGGAAACTTATCAGCATGCTCTAGTTATATACCCTGCCTCAGCCTCTCAAGTTGGATGAAAGAATAATTTGTTTTTTTTTTTTTTTTTTTTTTTTTAAGGGGGTTTTGTAGTTGTGAAGGCATGCTGTGTGAATAAATCAAAACTTCTAAGCGGATTGAAGCTTCTTATAGTATTCTAATCAATAAGTTTTTTTCATTATATTCAAATTTGTATGCTACACATAAAGTGTAAAATATGTAGGATTTGAAGTTGGTGAAAGATTTTGGATGAATCGTAGGCATTAGTCATTGTGTAAATGTGTAATTTATGCTTGTATACTTTACTGTTAGACGTCGTTTCAGTGGCTATTTCAACAATAATCTGATTCAGTTGCTACAGATTTTACATGGTTCTACTGCAAGATGTAATATATATGTATAGTTAAAAGAGAGGAAGAATGGTAGGGGAATGTCGAGTTAGTACTTCTGTATTCTTCCCCAGATGTGCACCACATGGAGACAGAAAGTATGAGATAACAATATATAATCTAGGAACAAGGTCTGACTGCTCAGTTCATCTGGCCAAATGCCTTGTAGAGTGTTATCGAAAGACTATGGCAGAAGATGCTGAAATATCCCTGAATTCTTTGGTTATCCGAGAGATGATATATACTTCTCAAAGATAGGTTAAAATTTAAAAGATCCAATCTCGGGCTTTTATAGATATCTGTAGCATACGTAGTGGTGTTTTGGGGTGTTCAGGTTACTTAGAGAATTAATGTATGTTTCAAAGAAAAATCCATGAGTTTGGATGATTTTGTTCACCTCTGAGATGGGGTTAAAATGACTCAAGGTTATCCTGCTATACGCAATGAACACCTAGTAAACATCAATCTGGAATTCCATCACTGGATTTGCTTAGAAGTTCTTTCTGTTAATCCCTGTTTCACATGTATCCTGACTCTGAAGGATTATATGTTTCTGACATTGTGTACTTTCAATACTCGTTTGACAGTTTCCTATGATGTGTTTTTAGTTTCATTTAAGTTATGATGTAATCAGGCAAGTAACTGCTTTCTTATAATGTCAACAGATCTTGGATAACTTCTTGCACTCAGAATATGGGGGACCGGGCACTTTGCTAGTGATTCCTTTCATTGATATGGCTGATACTCTGAATGAACGCGGACTGCCTGGAGGACCTCAAGCTGCACGGATAGCTGTTAAGTGGGCTCAAAAAAATATAGACAAAGACTGGGAGGAATGGACAAGCGGGAATAGCAAGTAATGCGAGTAGTGACTAAAGTGACCTCTGGGACCTGAGTAAAAGTAATTTGAGATAGTTATAGGCAGGAAATTTTGATATAGCTTTGCTATCAGAATATTTGAAATATGATACTGTTCTTAGGAATGTAGAGCTAGCAAATGTAGCTTCTGTTGCTGTTAAGTACTTCATAATTACATTTAATGACGTTTAGCAATAGCTAGAATCATTAGCTGATGTTCTCTTCTATAATTATTTTTTACATAGTACAAAGAATGCTGTCCAATCCCCTCACATAATTGCATGCTTAAAGTTTTAAAGGAGTGATCATATAACTCTGTTCAATTTGAGAATGAACCAACTAAATGCAGGATTGCGATTTGGATGTTCTCCTGCAACATTTAACAGTTGATTCAACATTGGTAAATGAATATTAAAAAGCCATGTGAAACTTTGGAGTGGTGTTGATAGTCGAGTTAGACCAAATTAATAAGCCGGAGATAGTATTTTGCCCCAATCAGGCAGAAAATCAACAACTTGAAAAACAGAATTTCATTTTACACTAGGTTACTTTCAGATATTTTACCTTATTTACAAACAAAAAAACTCTGCCGTGGTGTAGGCCGGCCTACCTTTCATTCATTCTACTATTTACAACTTATACAAGTCAATCAACTAAAACAAGAGATGAAAATGGACAACTGTGTAAAGATGCAGTGATAAGGCACAACTACATTATGCAAACCCAACTAGATATCTGACTGAGGTCGCTCCAGAAGTTCTTCCCTGTCAATAAATCGCTTAAGCAACTCCGGTTCCTTCAAAACAAGACATTCCTTCTCCTTTCCGCACCAGTCATAGCGCCGTTTAGCAATGTAATCATAGACAGCATCCCTTACTGGAGTGGGAATTACCAAGAGAGAGCTCAGCGCTGAATAGGGAAATGGCAAGTATGACATAACTTTCAATGCAGCTGCAACATATTCAAGCCCCGATGTTAGAACACTATTTGACATGGCAAACAGTGGCAGATAAATTTAAATTAAACACCATGACCAGAAAGCGATTAAGACACAAATTTAACCAAAGACCACCACCAAATATTACCTCCAAAGTGACACATTAAAAAAAATTTAACTGGTCACCATACAAATCACAAGAACCTGATAGGCTGATAGCATCACAACACAAGGTCTACCTTCAAGCATGCTTTTGTGTTCTAAAACCCCCAATTCTGAAGACTACTTTTATACTAGTTTCGCAGACCTATTGAAATTTGAGACTTTGTTTCGAAGTCATAAAGCTAGTTGCCACAGACCAAATGAGTCGTGAACCTAATTGGTTTGTTTACCTGATCGACTATATCAAACAAGCAATGACCAAAAGGGATAACACAATCCTGTCCGAAAAACTGACAACTGTCAAAGGCTGCAATATATACTAGTCATATGTGTTCATCCTTTTACAATTACATAAATCTGTTTCAACCTAGCGCAGAAATTTAATAAATAAGTTGGAAAACAATTTCAATAATAAGCCACATCTGGAGAGAACGCGTGAACAGCAAACAGATGGTATACATACAACACTAAGAAGAATTCTACGTATCGAAATTGAGATTAAAGTGACAAATACTTGGCTAGTTAAACAAATAATAAATCAATAGTTCATATCTTATAAGTTAATGCTACATACTACAGGAAGATGAGGGTCCTAACCTGTGGAAGCTTGATGGTATTGGCCTAAACCTTCAACAAATATAAAGCGGCGAAGCACATCCTTTCTTTCCACACCACAAATTTCCATATATGGCTCAGCAGTCTTAGACTGAAGGCAACAGAACTTAATCTTCTCGTACTTATCAGCTTTGATAATCAATTTCACACCTGCAAACAAATGAAAAAGAAAATTAATCCTGTTATGTAATTCACCTAAAATAGACAAGTCACATTGCTTGTACCTAAAACAAATGTACGGTAACAAGTCCAATCAGATAGGTTTAGGTCACCTTCTGAGGCAAGTCCATGTTCAAGTGATTTTAGGTCATCTTTAGCAATAATTCTCACAAATTCTATTTTGAAGGTTAGAAGATTTTTGTTGTTGAACTCGGGTTGAGTTTAATTTACGGATCGAGTCACCCTCTAGCAAGCCTTATGCCCATGTATGCATAGAAGAACAGTCAATAATTCAATAGGAAATGATATTAATTTCGGTCACCAAGAAATTTACTTGGTTCTAAAATGTACACATTGATGCTTAGTCTATGTGATGTAACATCACATTATGCAATTCTATCAAGTACAGTGCTACAGTCCATTTGTCTAAATAATACAAGTACTCCCTCCGTCCCTTAATTACATTCCTACTTCTAGCATTTATTCCTCACATAACAAAGAGAAGTAGGAATCTAATAAAGGGACGGAGGGAGTACATTTTAATTCGACAATCAAACCAGCTAATACAACTCGCAAATAGCCACTATGTATTATTCTGCTAATTGACAGGCATTGCTTAGTCTTATACCAGAAAACATATAACAGCTCCTTATCACTTGTAAAAGGTAAAACAAGAACCTAATTTTGCAATAAAGAAAGAGTATATTGGGGTAAACACAGGAAAATGTGATATTAAACAAATGACCATTAAATTTCATCTCTTCAAACACCAATTAAGGAAAATTCTAGGGAAAAATAGGACCAACATCCAAAAATAATCAAACAGAAATTAATCGAACAAGCAATTGTGTCAATTTCAATTCAAAACTAATTCAAATCATTCAAAACTTATGAATCAAACTACAATTTTGTTTAACGAAAACATAAAAAAGAATACCAAAAATTGAAGAAAACAACTTTTTCAGGCGAGCAAGAGATATATGAGAGAGAAATACCGGTGTGACAGAGACGACAAACGCCGTCAAAGACGACGACACGAGGTTGAAGAAGAGTGGGCATGACAGCAGGTTTAACAACGCTAACTGGAGAAATATGGAGGTCTTCATCATCGTCATCGTCGGCGACGAGATCAGCTACTGCTCCGGCGGGGTATGATGACTGCGGCGGCGGAGGCGATGGTGACGAAGCGAAGAAAATTGCCGGCGCCGACTCCGGCGAAGGTATCGGCGGTGGATTGGATTTGAGGGTGCGAGATCGAAGTAGAAGGTTACGCATTTGAACAAAGGTCATGTGGTCATACCCTTGATTTTGGAAAAACTGAGAAAATGGAGGGAGAAAACAGAAATGAGGGGAAATTTATTGGAATGTTTAATTTTCATTAGGAAAATGTGTGTAGAACTACCCGGAAGATAGGGTGATTTTGTTAACAACTATCCATTTTTTTTTACTAGAGTGTACCCGTGCAAACTGTACGGGAATATATAAGAAAAAATATATTTCAAATGTGAAAAGTTGATTTTGATGTTCTAATTTAGACTTCAGCTGTAATGGTCGGTTTTGGACTGGTCGGTTTTGTTGAACCCTAATTAGCTCTGTTGTATTGAGTATTAATAATAATCGTATTGATAATTAATGTGCTGACACCTGATGTGCTATGATGAAATATGATATTCCTCAAAAATCAAGGTCTTACTCTTTTATGTCGGTGGGCACACAATGCTATTATGGGGTTTACTTTTTCAAAGTTATAGAGGTTACCCGTTCAGTGTTATAGGAGTTACTCGTGTTACTCGGTTAGTGTCATATGGATTAGTGTCTTGCTATAGGAGTTACATACTTTGTTCTGTTGCAAGTAGTTATTCGCTGAGGCTAGTTGCACAAAAATGTGTTGTTCATTTTTTTGTTTTTAAAGAAATGGAAAATGTTGGAGGGTAGTCCCTAAAAATGCAATAATTGAAGGGTTGGGGATTTAGAGTACTATAATTGAAGGGTTGGGGATTTAGAGCACATTTTTATTTTTTTTGATATGTTATACTACGTACCCAAGAAAACATACACACATAAATTGAAAGGTTAGTAGTAGTCCCATAAAAAAAAAAAAAAAAAAAAAAAAAAAAAAAAAAAAAAAAGAGTGAATGGGTAGTTGTTGATTTTTTTTTTTTTAAATGATATAAAAAAAAAAAAAAAAAAAAATCTCAAATGCATGAGAGTTGAGGATTGGGGATTTGGAGGGCTCTCATTAAGTGACTCTACAATTATAATATAGATTTGTTTATAACTACCCGTAAGATGGAAAACGTTTGGGTAGCACTACCCAATAACGTTAAACGTTTTCCGTCCATTTTAGACGTTAGTGGGGCCCAACAGTTAACTTAACCCTCCAAAATTAATTCCCCCAACTACCTTTTCTCTCTCCTCTTCAATTTCCCTCCATTATCACTCCACTCTACCCTTTCACTCTCTTCATTGACCTTCAACCAATTCTGACCTAAGCAGCGAATATTCAACATCATCTTCGTCCCTTTTTCAGAAATTCGTAGCCCTACCATCCTTGTCTTTGCTTTATCTCTCTCTTCCAACTCATGTTTTAGCTTTTTTGGGTAAGTTGGTTTAACTGAGGTAATCTACAGAAATGGACAAAGGGGAAATCGAAGTAAATACTCGATCAATTGACTGCAGCAAAGGGAGGACCTTCAAGGTACATTGGTGTTTTCACCATAAATTTCTGTCCTTTTCCATAAATAATGAAGAAAATTAGAAAGCCCTAATTATTTTAATACTCGGATATGGAACCCTAATTTTTTAATTGATAAAATTGGTTGGACAATTAAACAATTGAAATGCTTTATCATATAATTAATTAACAATAAACTACAAACTTTATTTAGGTTGTTGTTGAGCTTAGATAATTGTGCAACTGTTGCTTGGTTGCTTTGCCCTGCTTTTTTTTATTCTTGTGCATGTTGTTTGACTGAATGGGTGTTGAGCTTACAGAATTTATATTATATCTGTTTCTTGGTGTTGGTATTGAAATAAGTTCTTTCATGTATGATGTAGGGAGCTTCCAGAATATGTTGATATGAATATCTGGGTTGGGGGGATTTGAATACAGCAAGGGTAGGACAACCTATGTTAGGGGAGGAATGTTTATGAGGATGAGTTGTTGGTTGAAGGAAATGAATGTTATGAATTTGAGGAAGTGGGTAATATATGCATATGATTTAGTGTGTAGTAGGGTACCCCAACATTTCAGTGTGTGGTACAGATTACATGGCAGAAACTTGACAAATGGAAGGAGGAAGGTGGAGACATTTGATGACATTATTAACTTGGTCAACAGTA